CCCTCCCTCACCAGGACATCTATACTGACCCTGTTTAAGGATACACTGAAAATTATGTACATAACGTGGGGGTCTGTGTTGCCTCAGCCCCTCTGACCATGCAGCAGTGGACCCATGGCTGTACTCTCGACGTGTGTGTGTGTGTGTGTGTGTGTGCCCTCGTGTGGAGAGTCACACGGAGCAAGAGATATAGAGTGAGGTGAGAAGGTTGTGGTCCAGGGCAAGGAAAGCAGCATCCAGCTCTGCCATGAGACGTATTTACATCACCGCTCACAAAGGAGGAACATTGAGGAGGAAGAGCGTTTAGATGGAGAAGAAAAAGAAGGAAAAAACCACAGGGACTGGAGATTGACATCCCCCTTGTGGAGATGTAGTGCTACTTATATTTTGTGTTATTCTCCCTTCATAGATTTTTTTTTCTTGCAACATATTTGTTAATGTTTCATCCAACGTCTTTGGTACAATTTTGGGTGTTATGAAAAAAATAAATAAAGTCTTGATTTGAATGATTACACACCAACCAAAACTTATTTCTGCTGCTCACTAGGGGTTTTTGGTTTGGCCATTTTTCCTGTCGTTTTAAAAAACAAAGCACCAGTCGTGAGTTAAACAGCATTTCAGCGTGAATAATCAGCAGATTTCAACCTCGAATTGGCTGCTGCTCACACACCCACACCACAAGCCCTCAAAATCACCTCTCTCCTGAAGATTTTTGGTCTAACGACCACCAGAAAAAGTTGCAATTGAATTAAACATTATTTAGATTTTTTTTTTTTTTAAAGAAAAACTAAAGGAGGTCATGATTTTGAGAATTTAATTTGTGTGGATTTATGGGACATGAATGAACAAATTGTGCTTTCGTAAAGCTGCACTGATCAACCTAATTGAGAAAAAAATTGAGAAAAAAAAAGAAAGTTTACACAATATTTCATGACAGCCCATAACAGAAGAAACATTGTGCTCCTAGGACTTGCTCCTTTGATGTCTATAAGGGTCACTGGGGATGTTACTTTTTGAAAGGGATTTGGGATTTGAGTATTTGATTGGCTGTCGTCTTCTGTTTCACCTCCAGATGTCACCAAATCATGTGTATAATGTTCTAAGCAACTTTAGCTTTTGATAAATCACTAATTCTGTTGCCAATGTGTTTAATTCTAATTAGTTTGTTGCAATGCTCCATTTGAAATAGACTTTTTTTTTTTAAGTTGTTGATGCAGCAGTTGAGGCAAACAGTTGTTTCTGATAATTCAGGTGTTTTACAAAGACAACTGGTGAACAAAAGGTCTATAGTATATATTTTATATATATATATTATATGTATAAATATATAGTCATCATTGTATATTCCTCGTGTGTGTTTGGAGGTCATATTCTTGGTGTGAGATCTTTCACATTTTAAACATAGAAAACAAGAAGATTAACAGGAAGAAGACAGTTGTTTTGGGACAAAATGAAACGAAACTGCTTCTCAAAAAGAAATCAAAGTAATCATTGAACTCAAAAAAGTTAAAAAGGTAAATAAGGTTAAAACATAAAATGGCCCGAATATAAATCTAGCTGTAAAATAAACAAAACTGTGTCCAAACCACCATCCATCTTTTTTCGGTACCTATTTAATCTAATTCGGGCCATGTGGGGCTGGGGTCTCAGCGGCAAGGTTCAAAGCTGATATATAATTTTTTTTTTAAATTAGTTAAGTAAAACACAAGAACAGACCCCTAATAAGTTAGTGACACAATTTTACCACCACAAATTTCACAGAAAAATATTGTACTGTGGATCAACTTAGCTCCAACTGTTTCTGATGTGAGACGAGTAAAGTAAAAATGTGTTTGTGTATGCTACATGCTATTTTTGAATAGAAAAAGGCCATTAAGTCTCAACTTGTAAGTCAGTCGATTTCCCCACTGATTGGGTCTATTCACACGGATGCTTGTTCAGGTTTACATTTTCATGATTAGTTTGCTTTGGATTGATTACAGGAACTACGATAGTGGACAGAGTCCGTCTTTAGTGACCTATTTTGAGAATGAGCCTCAGGTATTCTACAGTCTTTTGACCCTCAAACAGAGGTGATCTGGTGACTGTGTTGTGTATGCTGTGGAGTGAATTTAGCTGTCAGATTGTGGGTCCACTGGTCTCCGCCCCCTCATCTACGTGTCTTTCAATGGTTTGATGAGCATGAAATCTATCTGATTCATTACCCTTACAATAATCAGAACTCAAACCAGGTTGTTGAATAAAATCCTATATCGTGCACCAGGTTTGTTGCACAGCAGCTTAGAGCCACAGCAGTTTCATTCTTAATGTTAGTAAGGGAGAAAATTGCAGAAATCCCCCCTTTCCCTCCAGCAGAAAATCTATTAATGCAGCTTTAAAAATGCTTACACAACATTCCGGACAGAAATTCTGGAGTCTTTTTCAGCAGAGCAACGAATTGGTCAGTGTGGGCAGCTGCAGTGATTATCTTTCCCTCCACAGGCACTGTTCAGTCCATAGTGACAACTTTAATGTTGACCTTTTGCACATGTACAAGAAGAAGTCTCCATAAATAGAACTATACAGCAAAGTGCATGGAAGGAACAGTACAAAAATACCACTGAATTTCTCTGCAGCAACACTTTTTTCCCCCCTCAGATTTCTGGTTTAAAAGGTGAAAAGTCAAGTGAGACCAAGATATCAGTAAATAAATAAATGTCCTAATTTCACCTTGGCAAGATACATAACTCTTAGAAAGGTGAAGACATCGTTGTAGTATATAGTTTGATCCCCCCCCCTCCTGCTTAGCCACAGTAATCCTTTGTTTTTGGAGCTGAAGGTGACCACATTTAAACAAATATTCAAAATATACAGAAAATATTGAAATATATTATATATAGATACGTTGAGAGTAAGGAAGTAATGTTCAGGGCAGTTTGACCATGTTCTCTGTGTCCATGTCCTCCTCTTCTGAATGAATATTGAATCATTTGTCAGTTTGAACTGTCACTGTAGCTCCCCATCATCTTCTTAATGTGATTTCGGAGAACCCCGGGTGCTCCATAGGAAACTATGCAAATAAAAATAAAGACTATGAGTCCATTCCACTGTCAACATATTCCCATTTTATAACATGTTCCCCCTTAAATCCGAAAATAGTTCTTTGATTCCTCTTTGTTTGCATGTGTGCATTTTTTGTTAGATTTTTTGTTATTTTGTGTGTTTTTATCCCCAAAATACGTATTTTCCTTTTTTTTTTGTTTTTTGTTGTTGTTTTTTTGTAATAAATGTTCTCGTCTGATGTTGAGAAAAATATAGACCTCTGAATAACTCTGCTCTCTCCAGATATAAGACTGCAGTCTCTTCCAGTGGAATGCATGACCACCTTTTGGCATCGGCATCCTTTGGACTCGGTGGTAACCCAATCCCAGCTGTGAGCACACTCAAACCGATTCAAGGCCGCTTACATATCAGCCAGGGCCTGCCGACGCTGGGGGGCAGGATACACGCCTCCAAGCATCCTCACAGAAGGGGTTGAGGGACGGAGAGAGGGAGAGGGAGGGAGGCATTTAAGAAAACCCCAGGCTTGCCTCTCCTGGTTTCACATCGCTCAAGACTGACCCAAATTCCACAGTGAAAATTCCCGCTTTTACCTCTGAAGTTATACTTAACACCCCCCCTGTATGCTCCGTTTAGAAGCCTTCTATATGACAGTATGCCTCTAGACTGGAGAAGAGGATGTACAGGAACCAGAGGCCAAAGAAGAAGGCCGACGTGGCCAGTCTGTGTCCCCTGGGACCGCCCAGTTCTCCACCAATGTGGGCCCGGCGCCGATAGAGCAGCACCGAGACGGCCAGGAAGGCGAAGATGGTGAAGAGGGTGACGGAGAAGGCCAGCGAGCCGGCCTCCACCACAAACGGCTTCCCTTTCATGTGCCAGTAGATGGCCGCCACCGACCAGGCCATGCCGATCCCGAGGAAGACGTTGACGGCGTTGCTGCCGGTCACATTTCCAATGGAGGCGTCCGCGTAGGTGTCCTGGACGGCCGCCACCTTACTGGCAAAGGTGTCTAGGGAGAGAGGATTTGTCATCTTCATTCCAGTGTGGTGAAATCATTTTGACCGTTCAGTAACCACATGATCAAACTATTGATAATGATAACTGCACATTCATTTGTTAGCAAATTTTCTATTCTAGTTTTTCTCAGCCAGGAATTTGGCTTATGAGAGGGCTATTGAACCTAATTAATCTTTAAAGGAGTTTAAAAAACAAGTGAATGCAAAGAGAAAAAATTACAGGTGTGGGTTGAGGCTTCATCTGTATCCAACTTTATGAAGTGTCTTTTCAAACTTTTTTACTTTCCTGGCATTCACACCTGGTTAGGTTTATGTATTTGGATAAAATGGATATGATAACAAATTAAAAAAAGAAAATTTTAGGTTTTAATATCTTATATTTCAAGCGATTCTCTATAGCTGAGCAGAAGAGGCGCTGCTGTGTTTAATACTATCATTGATAAAAATACATATACGGCTGTATTTAACAGAAAGTTTTGGCTAAAGTTTTGCCAGTATTTCTTCTCTGTAGGGTTCAAATGTCAGCGAGGCAGAAATGACAGCCATCTCAGTGACAAATGACAACTTTCTTTTTGAGCTTGTGAAGTCAACTCTTCAACAGCCGTCACATGAACCACATAATTCATCAACTGACAACGGTATTGATAAACAAGAGCACAGGCTCATAGAGAACAGCCATTGACGTATCGCAAATGACGCGTCCTCATCAGAGGGTGTCCTCTCTGCTATTCTTGGACCCACCTGGGACTGATGTGCCGAGAGCGACAAAAACCACAGCAGTGACCGAGTCCTTGAGGCCAATGGTGCAGCCGAAGTGAGACGCCAGGTCGCCGATGATGGCTGTGAGCAGGCCGATGATGGCGATGGAGATGATGAAACAGGCCCAACCGTTCAGGTAGTCCGTGGGAGGCACGCACGCAAACAGAACCTTCCAGAAGACGGTGAGGAAGTGCATGACGTAGTCAAAACACGATGGGAGCCGTTCTTCGCCCGTCTCCTCCTCGTCCTCATCTTCTCGGTTGAAGCGTGGCGGAGTTGGAGTAAAGAGACAAGCGGGGGGGGACAAGTAGGATAGATTTAAATAAGATGAAGGCACACAGAGAGGATGGAGAAATAAGAAAAACATTTAGACACAGATAAAGAGAGTTCCCCCGCGACCCCACTGCGCATAAGCGGTATAGAAAATGGATGGATGGGCAAAGAGAGTTGGAGAGTTAAATAAAAAGAGGAAAGCATCATGAGAAAGTATTACAAGGCAAAAAGGGAACACATGACTAAACAGAAGGTTTAGAGAAAACATTGAAGGTTGATCCGGGAGAGAGGTGAAAAACGTTGCAATATTAACACACCCACAGAGGAGATAAAGGACAACAGAAATGGGGAGAATGAGGACAACATTCACAAAACAAGGCATGCTCACTTATTGCTCAGTGTGAGACACAGGAGCATCAATATTCCAGGTGACTCCAGGTTCCAGGTTTGACCTGGCGTAAGATATGGATTGCCTTTTACGGTGGCAACATTAAACAGTTCTCTGAATGGCGGAATTTAGTAAAAGTGGTTTAATTATCTGTTATTCTGTGGACATAAAGGAAGTTAATAGCATATTTAGCCAATTGGCTGTTGTTCTTGTGAAAAATAATCTCATGGTCTTTCAATTTATCATAGTTCAGTGTAATATAAACATCAAATATTTATATGAAAACAGACCACTTCAAACACTAAAACTAGCCAGCTAAACTACTGTTGGTTCGACTACCTTACATGTAGAGCTGTTAAAAGTCAGCTTTATAAGTCCTGTAGAGGCAGACGTGCAGTTTAAAAGGGGATTGCCTGATCCGAAAACAGGAGGTGAGGAGTTTAGGTAACCTGTGGAATAATACGGAACTGCAAGATGTGTTTATTTCGGCCCTGAATGTTGCAGAAACTGTTTATCAGCTGTATTTTTCCGAGTTTAACACTCGACCAGGGTGGAAAACCACCGTGTCCTACATTATCTCTGATTCAGTCGGCACACCGAGGAGCCCGGCGTCCTTTCTTGTCCCACAAGTGTGAGGGCAAACTCAGTGGACAAGCGGGGAGGCTGTAATGATTCAAAGTGTCAGGACGCGCAAGCTGCATGCATTTTTTAGCCAAGAATGGATCATGAAAAAATAAAGAGCGACGCCGCATTAAATATTTCAGCACCAAAGCGACGGGCCGAGGCCGTGGCGGTGCTCTCTACACTGTGGCTGCGACTACAGCTGCTCTGCTGGAGATCTGATGTTCTTTCTGCTTGACATAATGGATGAGATGTCTGTTGTGTACATGAGATTATTCCAGAGCTTTAAGAGCTTTGCCACCTGGGAGGATTCAACTGATGGTTTAGAAAGGTGAACTCTAACAGCAATTATGTAAGGCTGTCAGGGGAGAGCGCACTACACAGTTTAGGATATTTTTGGTTTCATGTTAAATAATCACACGGGAAACGGTTTTTCGGGGGCTGTACGAGGATACGTACCCTTTCCCTTTCTCGTCTTGCTGCTAGTGTCATGCATGATCACATAAAACCACTTCCCACTGAAGTTTTAAAGTGCAATTCGATGGATGAAATGACATTCATTACCTGCACTGACTGTTATGGCCTCCATGAACTGGTCTCTCCAGGAGTTTGTTCCCACCACCAGAGCCAGGTTTGTCTTCTTGATCAACTTGTCCACAGTACTCTGCATCACCACCAACACAAGGGTCAAATCAATCAAATCAGTGCATTGCTTTTGACAGATGTGATCCACAGAGGCTTTCACATGGAGGCATTCAAGGGCTTCACCACATGATGGCAGTGTTATCCAGATGTAGGCAGCGGAAACGTCTGACTGAATCATGACAGAGTTTCCACCATAAATATTGTTGCGTGCACATTTTGGTTAAAGGGTGCAGAAGATGAAGTCGATCATACTTTTTCGATATAACTACGGACATGTATATTAGCTGGGAAGCCACGAGTGTGAAACCACCTGCATGCGGGGTGGCAGCTGAATATGGGGGACTGCAAAGGAAAGAACACACTTTCTTCAAACCATAATCACACGCCTCCTTTAGAGGGCGGCCCTTCTCACCTTAAACTCATACGATTCCTCAATAATGACTTCCAGCTTGGAGTGTTCCCCCAGCACCGGTTTCCCCATCTCCGCGATACGCTTGGCTTCCTCTTCATCTGATGTGAGCTTCCTGTCTGGTACATCTGAAGGAAACAAGGCGGGAGCAAAATGGAGGGAGAACACAGTGAGACAGGCGGCAATCAAAAGATATGGATGCTCAGCTGAGTGTCGCGAGGTGCCACGCTTCAGAGATCACAAACAAAACACCCGAAGCTATGCCTAAACACCTTGTGGGCTTCAGAAATCTTGGTGATGTTCCAGCTCCGTCCCGTAGAAGTTAGACAAACATGCGCGCTTTACACAGCAAAGGCAAACACTGGCTGCGAATGATTTCCCCATCACTCGTTCTGTTTTTACTCACGAGTGTCAGACTTTTGTTGGGAAAGGCTGTAAAAATGTGACGTGCTTTCCCTGTCTGTATGGATGCTACAATATTTCCCTTTACAGGCTGCAGTGTCGGCTGATTTGGGATTTTAGCTGCGACATTATTCCTGGAAACGGGTAAAAAGCAAGTGATAAAACCGATCAAGAGATACCTTTAAACGGCATGCATTTCCCAAAAAGGAATGCCGGTGTCTCGGCTCTAAGAAAACTAAAACTCACGACACACTCGATCCTTTCGGCTATGGTTTACGGTCTTTTTTTGGGGACCTGGTTCAGTTGTCATGGCAACGGAGCAGGTGATCAAGACTGTTGTCTGGCAAAATGCTCGGTGAAATAGCTCAAATTTGGATCCATCACTCTCAAGGTTGAGAACAGATCCAACATTGAAAGCAAGTTCACCCAAAACAAAATAAGCTGCTTTGAAATCCGCCAGCTTTCCATAAAAAACATGTCTCATATTTGTTTTCTCGATTTTGTTTTCCTGTTTGGAGCCCCGGCCAGCACCTCAATCCGCGCCTATCAGGCGTGCCTTGTGTGGCTTCGCTGTGGAAAGATGCTCCACAGAGCTCTGGAGTGCACTGCACACTACAAAGAGGGCCATAACATCAATCCAGCGCTGTCAAAGTCTATCAAGAAGGAGTGGTTGCGCATCTGAAGGCCTCTCATGCTGCTCTTTGTGTGACACCCCCACAGAGCCACCTGGTGCAGAGGCCTTGTCGTCTTTTATACGAGCCCCGAGTCCCAGCCTGCTGCTCTTTCCTGACAACACGCTTACCATTAAATATTAACGCCGCCATTAAAGATCACAGCCAAGTTCCCTTGATAGGAGGGCGTGTCTGCAAGTGCGCATGCACACACACGCGCACACACACGCGCGGGGGGGGGGGCATGCATAATATACAGGCTCCTGAGCCACTGCGCGTACGTACACACGAACCCACTTAACAGCTAAATCAATTACACACCCAAGACAGTGTGTACCATCAAGTCCTGACAGGATTTCTTTTGCTCCTGTTTAAAATTTGATTATCCAACCATTCCCGTGCCTCTGTGCTGCACCGCTACATGACACAATTTCCTTGACAAGGAAGGGGAATATTATAACACAACCGCACAGGTAATTAAATTTCTAATTTCAGAGCGGCAGGTTTTTTATCTTGATTATTATCAGGTGTTTGTACATTGCAGTCGACTGGACAGCATAATTTATGAATTTATGATTAATGAGTCCTCTGATTAGAGTGCAAATCCATCATTAACTGCGGCAGAGGGCTACAGAACAGGACGTATTGTTTTTGTGAAAGACAGGCGAAGAGAAAAATACCACTTGCATGCAGCTTACGCTGAACTGAATCTGCTGAGTTATCTATAGAGAATCGTTGGCAATGTCAGATCATTTAGACCCCACACCACACACTGAGGAGGCGATGTTAGTGGAGATGTAAAATAAATAAATAAAGGAGAAAAATGGACAACTTACCGTCAGCTAACAACAGAGCTGTTGTGGAGAGGAGAGAGGGGGATTAGGAGGGGTGGAATAAGGAATGCATGGAGAAAACAGAAAATGCAATGAGTAATGGAATTACCGCTAAGGAGCATAGATAAGACAGAAGCAGGTCAATAGTAGTCAGAGTAATGTGGGGGCCCCAGAGAATGGCTACAAATTGATCCTGGGGTCAGTGCATATGGCAATCATAAATCGACAGGCGTAGGTCGTGAAAGCAACACAAGTGCATGATGGGAAAGGGTGTGATAGCCTATTCAGATTCTGGATTACTCACACCGGCTATTGAGCAAACATCCATAGAAAAAAAAGCTTTTGTCAGATAACTGATTTTTAAAGTGACACTTAAACTATCTCAGAGTCAAACATCTGCCACACATTTGTCATGATGTGAAGAGAAGAGCTACAAATCTTTAAGGGATTAAACAAAGACTATTTGAATGGTGGATAAAGGAATAAACAACAATTGAAAATTCCACTCAAAAACGGTGATTATATATGCACATTCATTATCCACACTAAGAGTTTCAATTTCCGAACGCATTCATGAATACTTCACAACATGGAAGACATAACAAGGATTTGGATTTTTATCAACAGCGTTAGTAAAATAATAATTAAAGCAGCAGCGAATCTTCAAACCAGACACTTGTTAATTATATCACATAAGACCCCGAGTTTCCACAGTCACTGTGGCAGAGGAGAGGATGGCAGGATTTTTCTTTGGCAGCCTCTGTTATGGGATTCTGGCTGCAAATACACAACATCAAAACCTTTGTCAACCTGTCATGAGTAGCTGCCAGCCAGCCCTAAAACCTTGTTAGGATGTGAGTGAGTTTTAGTGTGTCAGGACAGGCCTAAAGCACTGCGTCTGAGGCTTTGTCAGTCCTCATAGTATGTTGGAACCCTTATGAATATGTGGCCATAATAAGCGTTGAATTTAGTTGAACTACTGATGAAAATTCTAGCTACTGGCAATGCATAGACTTTATTTGATATTTGGCCACTCTGGCCCAGTGCAATAATCTGAAAACACAACCAACACAACAAAAAGTGTAACAATAACAACGTTAATTTGGTTTTCTCCGGCGATCGAGTTGATTTCGACCTGCGGGGTCTAATGTGAGCTCGCTCTCACTCCCAGTTCATCATCTGCGGACAAATGTCGCATTTCAGCGTTGAGCTGACCACTTCAGGGTCAAATTTATCGTCCATAGCAATTTGATCGGTCTGATATCGATGTTCCCTGTTGATTTCCGAATCATAGGTGCGCGGTTTGGTCACTGAAGTAACCGAGAAAACGAATGAGGAGAATTGTGTCCAAAATGGTCAACAGGGCTTTCTTACATATGGCTACTTTTGAAAATACTGTGTTTTAAACTGACAATTATTATTACGCCTTAACCTTTAAAATAGCCACTGGAAAAAGAAAAAATGGTTTAAAAAAAAGCTAATTGTGACCTTTCGGGAGAAAATATTATGCTAACATTGCGCTGTGGTATGCAGTGTTAGCACGAGAATGGGACAAATTCAGAATATGTTCTGAGGTCTGTTTTAGGTTTCCAGTAACTTCTAAATAAAAGATCTGATCATTGGCACAAGGGTTCTGGAGAACTTAAGAGTTTAGTCTGAAACAAAAAGCTGAAAAACAACTAAAAAAGGACCAGTTCTGCTGGATTATTCTACCTTTTAAACGGATAATGGAGTAGATTTTGTAAAATAGTAACAAACCACTGTTATTTCTATGTAACTGTAGTTTTTTTCTCGTACCAGGCTGAGTAAATTCAAATGGCTGTTTCAATAGGGTATTCCAGAATGGTCTAAATCTGATTTGTTTATTTGTCACACAGATCCTAACTTTTTCTTCTAGATAGAACAAAGATTCCCATTTGTTTCTATGCAACAATGGAGAGACGGAGCAAACAGTTTCCGTGCTGCTTTTGGCAAATGTATACTGAGCATGATGCAGCACTGCTACATAGATGATGAAACAGTAAAACAGTAACAGCAAGAAGGCCAGCTTTTCTTATCCTTATCAATCTTTTGCATAAAGCTGCACAAAATACCAATCGGAAATCTCCTCAAACAAATAAGCTGTCAAAACTTGAGATAGATATAGAGATTTAATATATTATCTATATTTATATATATATATATTCAAAAAATAAACACACATATAGCTGTTATGCAGCATAGCGAAAAAGATTTTTAAAAAGTATCCAGTGAGAAGGATAATTCCTTGAAAGAGAGTGTGGAGGCAGCTAGAGAGAAAAGCTTTCCAGTGCCTTTCAGCGTCTCACACTGACAGCAATCCCTTTTTTATGTCTTCCTCATCAACACCCCCTGCATTCGTAAAACAAACGCAAATTTGTCATACGCCCCAATGATAATAGGACTCGAAGGACAAAATATACAGCTTTTTTTTTTCCATAAGTGGACCAGCGCCTTACTTAAACTTCTTACTTAAAGCTATAGTAACTAATTAACCCATTTGTTTTCAGAGGCAGCTTATCACCGTCCCAAATCAGTTACAGACTACAGTTAATCATCATTACTAGCTGAGTACATTAATTGTTATGGGCGACTTGCTTCATTATCATTAGTACCAGCAGAGTTGTTCTGATCTGAAGCCAGCTGTGGTTTAAAACCCTGCTGTGGTGAGGCCGAGTACGATCCCTGTTAGTGATGGCACTTTAGTCATTTAGCACACAGCGACCAGCGTCTTTAAACAAACCGCACAAGAACATGTAAAAGGCAATTACAATACTAAGTCACAAAAAATAAAAAAAATCGGGGTTTTAACTGCCTGTCATGTCCAACATGCAGTTGTAGATCAGGAGTAGTCGTAATACAACTGTTCAACCAACCGTTTTGACACCAACAGAAATCATGTCTGCTACTGTCTGACCAATTGACACAAATGCACAGCCTAAAAGTTATTTCAATTACACTGATGTGAAAGAGAAAAGCAGTACATTTAAGCATTCAAGAAAAATTTGATTTGACTGAAAATGCTATTTTCTGGTTAGATAAACAAAATGTCTGGGGGAAAAATAAAAAATTCAAATCGTTAGGATGCTTTAAGTTGTATCTCGGCCCCTTGACGAAAGATATACAATGTTTGCATAAGGAAACATCACAGTCCTGTACGAGGGAGTGTCGACGACTCCAATGCAATGCAGCCTGATTAAAATT